AAGAAAGAAGGAATATAGAGTCATTGTACCCAAAAGAACTAGTTGACATTCCATCATTTCAGGAGGTAACATATGAGCAAGCACCATTGGTACTGAAGGAAGACATTCAAATGGCACTGAATGCACTAGCTGAAAACAAGGTTCCAGGAACGGATGGACTACCCATTGAAATGTTTGAGCAAGCTGAAGAAGCACTGGAAGCACTCACGCTTCCAGGAAATGTGGAAGACAACTACTTGGCCAACTAACTGGAAAAGATCCGTATTTGTGCCTGTTCCAAAGAAAGATGACTCAACAGAATGCTCAAACTATGGAACAATATCATTGATATTGCACACAAGTAAACTTTTGCTTAAGATCATCCAACAAAGGTCGCAGCAGTACATTGACAGGGAGCTGCCAGAAATTCAGGCCACTTTCAGAAGTGCACATGGAACAAGGGATATTGTACATGTCAGATGGATCTTGGTGCAAAAAAGAGAGTACCAGGAAGATGTTTACTTGTGTATTATTGACTATGCAAAGGCATTTGACTGTGGGGGCCACAATAAGCTGTGGATAAACTTGAGAAGAATGGGAATTCCAGAACGCTTGTGCTCATTTGAAACTTGTATATGAATCAAGAGACAGTTGTGAGAACAGAACAAGGGAATACTCCTGGTTTAAAATCAGGAAAGGTGGGTGTCAGGGTTGTATCCTCTCACCATACTAGTTCAATCATGAGCAAATCATCAGAGAAGCTGGATTATATGGAGAAGAATATGGTATCAGGATTGAATACTAGCTTGTGATAATATGCAGAAGACTCAACCTTGTGTGCTGAAAATGAGAAGTCATTGAAGCACCTGCTGATTAAGATTAAGGATTGTAGTCATCAGTATGGATTAAAATTCAATGTGAGGAAGACCAAAATTCTCACAATTTGACTAATAACTAATATCATGATAAATGGAGGAAAGATTGAAGCTGTTAAGGATTTTGTCTCGCTTGGATCCACAATCAACATTCATAGAAGCAGCAGTCAAGAGATCAAAGAGATGCATTGCATTCAGTGAATCTATTGTACAAGAACTCTATAGAGTGTTGAAGAGCAAGGATGTTACTTTGAGGACTAAGATGTGTCTGCCCCAAACCATGATATTCTTCATTGCCTCATATGCATGTTAAAGTTGGACATTGAATAAGGAAGACCATAGAAGAATAGATGCATTTTAATTGTGGTGCTGGAGAAGAATATTCTAAGTACCATTGTATTAGTCTTGGTACTTTAGAGAAACAAATACATAGCAATTCATGTATAAGAGAGTTTTATGTAAAGAAAAGTGTGCATCATGAAAACATCCCAACACAATGCTGTCCAAGCCCACAAGTCCAACATTAACCCATTAACCCAACACCAGTCCACAAAGTCCTCCACCTCACAAAACAGAGGCAATGATGCCGACTGCAGGAGGAAAGCTGAGTCAGTGAACGAGTAAGCATCTAAGCAGTAGCAGGGGTCTCCACACGGCTGCTCCAGCACCCAGGGCTGCATCGGAATAGGTCCATGTGACTTCTCCTTGGGGATGTCTTGTAGGAAGTCAATCTTGCAAGCTGAAGCAGGGAACTGCTAAGGCAGCTGCACCGTGGTGTGACCATCAGAAAGCAAGAGACCCGAGAACTAGAAAGGCGAGGCTCACCACCCATTTATCCCTCTGCCTTTCAATTAGCCCCACATGTGATTATCGGCCAGGTTGGCACAATTAACAAACTCAACCATGCTCTGCTAAAAGCAGAAACTGATCTGTTTGGAAGAAGGAAGGCCAGCGCTCTCCTTAGACGACGAGACTTCATCTTACATGCTTGGATATATTATCCCAAGAGACTCGCCCCTGGAGAAAGACATCAGATTTTGTAAAGTGAAAAAGAGGCAAGCCCTCCATGCGATGGATTGACACAGGGGCTGCATCAATGGGCCCAGGCATAGGAGCAACTGTGAGGATGGTGCAGAACGAGCAGTGTTTCCTTTTGTTGTGCAAAGGGTCGCTGTGGGTCGGAACCCACCTAACAACAACAATAACAGCAACAGAGATGTTTATTAGACAGTGAACAATTTGCCGAGGAACATACAACTAGGAAGAGTCCCAATCTGATGCTAGGGTTGCTTGTTTTCAAAGCCAATACTTCTTCCCCCTGCTATAAAAGGATGGCAGCAGCCTGCAAGGGTTAACTAGTGGCTGTTGAGTCAATGTTGACCATGACGACTCCATGTATGGCAGAGTTGAACTGTGGTCCGTAGGATTTTCAATGGTAGGTTTTTCTTTTCTTTGAGTGTGTCTCTGGAGGGCCTGAAACCTCCAACCTTCACTGCCTTAAAGTGGTGCTTAGCTGTTTATACCACTCCATCAGAGAGTTAGGTAGGCTTATGGAATTCTGAATATGCACCCAGTCTTGATTAAAGAATACACAGCATTTGCTTTACGGTACTCAGAAGGTGTTGAGAGATCTGGTTTTGAGAGTGTGCTTGTGACAGAAACTGTTGCCTTTTGATGCTCTGAAAACCAGAAGGAGATTTTAGGCATCTGTGCTTCGAGAAAGAAGCCTTAGAACAGTGGTTCTCAACCTTCCTAAGGCCATGACCCTTTAAAACAGTTCCTCATGTTGTGGTGACTCCCAACCAGAAAATTATCTCCATTGCTACTTCATAACTGTCATTTTGCTACTGTTATGAATTTGGTGACCTCTGTGAAAGAGTCATTTGACCCCCCAAAGGGGTCACGACCCACAGGTTGAGAACGACTGGCTTAGAAGGTAGCTGTAATACACCTGACTGACTGGGGAAATCTCCTCTGGAGTCTGAGCTCCTAGGATCAACAAAGGATTCTGGGGAGTCGTCTTGCCTTGGTAAGAATGGAAGCTGGGGGGTTGAAAAGTGTTGGTGTCTAAGGCCCAGGACTCAGCCAACAGTCCATGCTCAATACAATTAAGTTCATGAACACTTCCAGAGAGTGATGTGGCTGGCTGCGGGCCAAACTCTGGGAATATGAAGATACCCTAGGAGTTAAAGCAAATAAAGGTGACAAAAACCCAATGTTCAAATTTACTCCTATCAAGTCGATTCCAAATCATAGGGACCCTATAGGACAGGGTAGAAGTACCCCTCTGGGGTTTTGAGTCTAAATCTTGATGGAAGTAGAGAGTTTCATTTTTGCTTCCCCAGAGCAGCTGGTGGTTTCAAACGGTTGACCTTGTGATTAGCAGCCCAACACATAACCAAATGACTTCTATAGCTCCACTTCAGTCATTCTGGCTGCTTTAGAGTTTCTCCAAGAGGTAAAGCTTAAGTCTATCTTTAAGTCCTTAGTTCTGGTATTCCCATTTCTTTCAGAAATCTGTGCAGCTAATTCCTTTGCTTTCTTTAACTCTCCGCTCAGATTTCATCATCTCAGTAAAGCCTGTTCTGAACACTCTACTTAAAGTTGCACTCACCTCCTTAGGACCTCAGCCTCCCTTAGTCTGCTTGACTTTTCCTTCCGCAGTTCCCTCCTCCAGCATCAGTCTTTTGCATATATGATTTTTATATTTCGTTTGCTTCTCCTATGGGAATTAGGCCTCACAAGGTCAGTGATTTTGACGTACCAATAAGCTAAACACTAACACATCAGTTAACATCTTTAGTGTGCTTCCTGTGCAGACCCTCAACTGGTGTGTGTGTGTGTGTGTGTGTGTGTGTATGTGTGTGTGTGTGTGTGTTGATGTGCTTGAACCTAAGGGCAGAGGTGGCTGGAGGGTGGTGAGAAGGAGGGAGCAAGCTTGCTCTGAACAGGAGCTTGGAAAGTGGGGCATTTGGATCCCAATAGACTGTGCTTAGCAAACAATAATTTTAGGCCCCCTAAACCAGAAGTTCTGGTCTTGAGCACAATCAAGACAGTGTGGTGTGTTTTCCAGTGGACCTTCGTCCGCCCTCCACCACCAGATGGGCGAGGTCAATGATCAGTGAAAGGTAAATAGCAATAACCAACCTCTATGAATGTTTACTATATGTTAGTCACTGATCAGTGGCTATGTAAGTTTTCTTACATCAGCTCTTACTCTTGCCAATACCCCCATTGCGTGGGCACGAGCTAGCAGATCCCAGAAGTGGAAAGCCTGGCACAGAGAGATGAAGCCCCAGCTCTCACCTCTAGAAACCCACTGAGGCAGCCGGATTCCAGAGCAGGCTTTTCTCCCAATGCGACGGGGCCTCTGTGTCTGCCCGAGTCCCTGGGTGCTGCAAAGAGTTAATCAGCTCCACTGCTACCTGAAAAGTTGCACTGAGAAGTCGGAGGCTGGAGTGCACCTGGAGGTGCTTTGGAAGAAGAAGCTGGCGACTTTGGAAACCAGCAAAACAGTCTTTGAAAACACTATGGGCCACAGTTCTGGTTGCCATGAGGAAGAGTGGGCCGCACATCTGATACTGGGTGGCTGACTCCTTAGTTGCTAAGGGGCAGGACGTGTGTTCATTCGTCATTTTTATGTGCTCAGAACTGAACACGGTGCCTGGCACGTAGTAGTAGAGGCGTCATAGGAATACGCTGATTCAGTGAATGCATTTTTGTTAGGCAGGGAGGGCGGGAGCAAGACCTGTCAACATACAGCTGCTAGAAACGGATGCAAACTTTCTTCCCGGGGATGGCGCGGCCGGACGGTCCTTTCCCAAGTCTGCTCCCAGTTGAGCTATGGGTTTGCACGCATCCGCATCACCGGCAAGGGCTCCTTAGCAGGTGGCTGGCTCTCTCTGAACAAACCAGAAAAACAGCCCTCTGCTCAGAGCCCACGATCAGGCTTCCAGGAGCAAAGGGCGCGTCCCGGGGGCCAGGCCAACAGCCAGCACGCCCCGCCCCGTCCCGCCCCGCCAGGCAGGGCGTCCCCGCCGCGCTTGGTGGGTGCAGTGAGGGGCACCCCTACAGCCTGGACGCTGCCCGCTCAGGTGTGTGGCTCCTGCCTTTGGGCGCGGCCCCTCAGCTCTGCTCTGATCATCCATGGGGGACGCCGGGTCCCCATCGCCAGGAGAACAACTGGAGCTCTCCGTCTTCGCTTTGCAGCCCGATGAGCAGACGCCTCTGAATGGCGCCGTCCTGACCCTCCGCTCTTCGCCCGAGCCCGGCGGGGCGCAGGTGAGGTCCCCGGGCCGCTGGCGGCGCTATGGGAGCACGCCGCTCCGGGCAGGTGTCCACCAGAGCATTGGGATGCTCCACTGTGCGTCTCGGCCACCACTCCCTGGCCGTCCCTCCGACCCCCGTGGCACGTTAGGAATCCGAGATGTGAGGCGCGGCCGTTCTAGAGAAACAGAATTCCCAGAAGTGACTTGTACGACGTTATGTAACTTTTCATTCAAGTGCGTTTTTGCAGCGAGGGAACCTTAGGCGATCCACGGAACCTCCTCTTCCTACCGGGACTCTCTCTGTCCCCTTTAGCACTTGGCCCTTTCCAGCCACGTCCCCCAACCCATTCTCCACTCAGCACAACACACACTTTGTATCTTGTCCTGGTCGGTCTGCCTTCTTGAGTTCATAAGACGCGAGAGCTAGGCAAACAGCAAGAACGAGAACTAGGGTGGCGTTGGAGGAGGGGGTGGGGGTGAACTTGCCCTGCTGAACTGAAGGGAAATCATTTCAGAGGCAAAGATTCCAGACTATTCTTCGCCTCATCTCAGACGCCAAGGGAGGCCTTGGTGAGTGCTGTCTTTGATTCACCTTCACCGGTGACAGGAGCATGACTCATCTCACCTACAGCCTGTCAAGCAGTGAGACTTTTGAACATCACTCTCTTCACCCTCTGATTCACCCTTACGGTGGGGGTGGGCTTGGGCTGGACTGTAAACCCAAAGCAAAGCCAACTCATAGCCACTTTAGAACACAGAAGAACTGCCAAGGGCTTCCCAGGCTGTAAAAACTTTTAAGCTTTTTTATTGTAAGTTAGGTGTATACAGAGCAGATCATCAGTTTTACATCCACCAACTCCCACACTTGATTTCAAAGCATCTCTTGCAATCCCTTTGATGTACTACCCCCTAGTCCAATGCCTCCCTCTGTTCCCTGTTTCCATTCCTCTTTCTTTCCTAAGCCTCTGAACTTTGTCTGTGAGTGAATGCTGCTCCTCTGATCTTCAGTGGGTGATTATTCTATCACAGAGGTGGTAGAATGAAGGGTGACCCACCGAGGGCCTTGGTCTCAGGGGTCCCGTGTCTCTATCTGACCAATAAGCCTGGCTGCTTTTCAGATTTTGAGTTCTATGCCATGCTTTCCTCACATTCCACTGAAGACCACCTAGTGTGATACTTTTCCGAGAAGTTAGTGGTGACAGCTGGGCACCATCGAGTTGTTCTGGTCTCGGCCTTTGGGAGATTGCTGTTTGTGTGGTCTGTTAGTCCACTGAACTAATTGTCTCCATCTTCCTCCAGACAGGAGGAGGCCAGTTGTTAAAGCTCTGGGTATTTAGGATAAATTGCCTTATCTGTTTCTTGTGGAGTCGCTGGTAGGTTCCAACTTTCCACCTGAGCATACAGACTGTGTGCCAGCAGGGCTTCCTTGAGCTGTGTACAGGGAAGCCCCTCACCTGTGGCACCACTCTGATCTTTCCAGGTCCCACCCCTCTGCAGTGTAGTATTTGGGCTCTCAAATGTTGATTTCTGGGATTAGCAGGCCATTTCAAAGTTGAATGATTCCCCTTGTGCTTTTTAAGCTTACCTCAGTGGACTCATGTTTACTTGTCCTTTTGTGCTTGGCTTAGTTCTGTTAGCATAATTTCCAACTCTTCCCATGTGACTATGAGCTTCATGCACTCATCACTGCTTTTTAGAGATATGAAGGACTCCATTGTATGTATGTACCAGAGTTTTTAAAATTCATTCGTCTATTAATGGAAATTTGGTTGTTTCCAGCTCTTTGCCATTGTGAACAGCACTGCAATGAACACTGGAGCACAGGTACCTGGCCGTGGTCTGTTTCTTACCTCTTCTGGGTATATGCCCAGTAGGGTTGCTGGGTCATATGGTAGCTTGATTTCCATTTGTTTTAGGTATCGTCAAATTAATTTCCCTAATGGCTGCACATACCTACAGGTCCATCAGCAGTGGATGAGAGTTCTTATCTCAGCATACTCTCTCCAACACTTGTTACTTTTTGATTTTTTGAATTTGGCTAGCTTTGAGGGTGTTAGGTGGTATCTCATATTTGTTTTACTTTGAATTTCCCTTATGAATAATGATCATAAGTTAATTGGCCATTTGGATTTCCACCCTTGTGAAACTTCTGTTCAGGTCCTTTGCCCACCTCCTCAGGGGGCTATTTTCTTTTTTTTTCTTTCTTTTTTTCTTATTGCAGGTTTACAGAGTATTGTAGATTTTAGTAATAAGGTCTTTGATATGTCATTGCTAAAGATGCTTTCACAGTCTGTGGGCTCTTTTATTACTCTCTTGGTGAATTCTTTTGATGTACACAGGTGTTTTATCTTCAGTATATCCCACTTGTCAATTTGTGCTTCCTCTCTGTTTGTGTCCTTTCCTGTTTCCAATAGCCTATGTGTTCCCCGTGTCAAAGTTCTTAGGTTTATCCCAATTCACTCATCAATGGCCCTAACATTTGGAGGTTTTATCTCGAGGTCTGTGATCACTTTGAGTTTATTCTTGTGCATGGAGTGAGGTAAGAGTCTTGCTTCATTTTTCTGCAGGTAGATATCCATTTTTATTCCAGCACCACTTCTTGAAGAGGGCATCCACTTCCCATATGATATTTTTGGGGGGGCCCTTATCAAAGATCAGTTGTCTGTATACTGATGATTTTATTTCTGGGTTTTCAGTTCTTTTCCATTGGTCTGAATATTTGTCATTATACCAGCACCACGCTGTTTTGACCACTGTGACTGTATAATAGGTGCTGACGTCAGGTAAAGCAAGCCCTCCCACATTGTCCTTCTTGAGGAGTTCTCTGCTGATTCTGCGCTTCTTCCCTTTCCATATGATGTTGGTAGTCAGTTTTTCCAATTATTTGAGGAATGATATTGGTATTTGCATTAAACTTATATAGTGCCCTGTGCAGGACTGACGTCCTTACTATATTGAGTCTTCCAATCCACAAGCATGGGATATTCTTCCATTTGTGGAGGTCACTCTTGGTTTCTTGTAATAGTGTTCTGTAGTTTTCCTTGTACAAATTGTACAAATCTTTTTTGTTTGTTTGTTTGTTATGTATATCCCTACATATTTCAATTTGTGCTTGGCTGTTGTCAAGGGTACTACCTTTTTAAAATTTCCACTTCTAAGGCTAATCCAATGTATATAGCAGTCTGAAAGACTTCTGTACGTTGATCTTGTATACTGTCATTCTACCCTATTCCTCTAATGCTTCCACACTCCTCTTGTGGAGCTTTTGGGGTTTTCCATAAATAAAATCATATCATCTGCTAATAATGACAGTTTTAACTCTTCTTTCCCCAGATGAATACCTTTGATATCTTTTCTTTGCTTTATTTTGTTCGCTAGGATCTCCAGTATTATGTTAAATAAAAGTGGGGACAAGGGACATCCTTTTCTGGTCCCCTTTTTCAGTGGGATTGTTTTAATCTATTCTCCATTGACTACCACATTGGCTGTTGATTTTTCATTTATAGCTTGTATTATATTGAGCGATTTTCCTTCTGTTCTATCTTTCTGAGTTCCTTAAACTTGAATGTCGTTGAATGCTTTTTCTGCATCTATCAACATTATCATGTGGTTCTTATCCCTTTTTCATGTAAATGTGTCAAATAATGCTGATGGACTTTCGAATGTTGAACCCTCCCTGCATCCCTGGGACGAATCTCACTTGGTCATGGTGAATCATTCGTTTTATATACTGTTGTATTCTATTGGCCAGTATTTTGTTAAGGATTTTTACATTGATGTTCATTAGAAATATAGGTCTGTAGCTCTCAATTATTGTGGGAACCTTGCCCACTTTAGGTATCAGTGTCTTATTAGCTTCATAGAAAGAGTTGAGGAGCTTCCTGTTTTTTTCTGTGCTTTGGAAGAGTTTGTGTAGAATTGGCATCAGTTCCTCCTTGAATGCTTCATGGAATTCTGCTGTGAATCTGTTTGGCCTGGGGGGATTTTTGTTGGTAATCCATTAATAACCTTGTCTATTTTTTCCATTGCTATTGTGTGTTGAGATTCTGGATGTCCATTTGGCCTAATATAGGGAGAGATCCCCCTCCCCAAGTATTTGTCTATGTAATCACTTAATAATCTTGTCTATTTATTCCATTGCTATGGGTCTGTTGAGATTCTGGATGTCCATCTGGGCTAATCTAGGGAGAGATTGTTTTTCCAAGTTTTTGTCCATGTCTTCCAAATTGTTGAATTCATTGGAGCACAAGCCTTTATACTACTGTGTAATTAGCCTTTTAATTTCATTAGGGTCTGTTGTAATGTCCCCTGTTTCATCTCTCATCCTGGATATTGAAATTTGCTCCTTCTTTTCTTTGGTTAGGTTTGCCAACTGTCTATCAATTCTGTTAAGCGTCCCAAAGAACCAGCTTTTAACTGCCTTGATTTTTTGAATTGTTTTCCCTCTCCTGTATCTCAGCCCTGATTTTTATTATTTATTTCCTTTTTCTGTTAGTAGGATTGGCCTGTTGACTCTGCTCTAATTGGTGAAAGTTTTGCACCAGCATATCAACCATAAGTCTCTCTTCCTTTTTCATATGTATTGCTATCAAACGTCCTCTGATAAATGTCTTTGCTGTGTCCCAAAGGTTTTGATATGCCATATTTTCATTTTCATTGGTTTTTAGAAACTTCTTGATTTCATCTCTGACCTGGGCCAATACCCACTCCTTTTGCAATAGGGAGTTATTTATCCTCCAATTGATTGCCCTTGTTTTCTTCACCGTTCTGTTGATTTCCAGCGTTGTGGAATAGTGGTCAGAGAGAAAAGTCTGTATAATCTCTATGTTCTTGAATTTACTCAGGTTTGACTTGTGTCCCAGCATGTGGTCTATCTTTGAGTATGTTCCATGTTGGCTTGCAAAGAATGTGAACTGTTTTGCATTTAGGTGGAAAGCTCTGAAAATATCTATCAGGTCAAGTCATCCAATTGTGCTATTTAGATCTGTAGCCTTCTTGTTAAGTTTCTTTCCC